CAACCACAACAAGAGAAACTACAACAAACAAGGAACAGAAACAAGAGTACAATGCTTGTCGTTCGCTTGCCAGTCCGACCTTTTCCTTGTCAGCGACACAAACTTGATGCCTGTGCTTTGAGCTGACAACATACGCACCTTGCCAGTTGCGAATGCGCTGAAAAAGAGCTTCGGATGACATGTCAGATCGCCACTCCTGCAACTGGTGGTAGTCCCTACTTGCCTGCTCGGCACTGGACCTTAAAGGACCTACGCAGCATGAGACACCCACGTTCATCCGCGCAGTGAAGCCGCGTGTCTGTCGTCGGACGCCTTTGGGGCAAGGGTCGGCCAGGCCGAAAATGTCTTCTCCGTTCTCCTTGCCTCGCACTTCGAAGTATGCCGGTGCACGAAAGCTTCTCAAGCTTCGCTCGATGGTGCCTTGATCTGCATTTCCGAACACATGCGGGTTCCTCCGCACATGTTCCAACAATTCTTTGTACGTTGCCCTTCCACCGAGTTCCTGCATTGCTGTCAGCATCGCAGTCTTCTTCACACCGTTGCCGACCCAATTAGACTCGCTGCGCCTCGGCTGCCTTTGACGAACTGGCAGCCCGTCGGACTCATCGACACTTTCGAGCAAAAGCTCGACTTCTCTTTGGATGGCTAGCCAGGTGGTGGCAGCTGCTGCGAAGTAGAGCTGGCTTGACTTCTCCTCGAAGCATCCGATCTGCCTTTTCACGTGCTCCAGGAGGTGACGGATGCAACCGCAATCAAACTGGCTTGTGCGCCAAGCACGCAAGACCTTAAGCAGCAATTTCCGAGCACGGCGCTGCAGCCCACCACAAGAGGCAGACATATCAAGGCATGTCTCTTGCAGATCCTGCTCTAACTCGTTGTCTTGGAGGTCAAGTTGCCATGTGGCCTTGCGAGGAGGGGCCAAGGCAGCGGCCACCTGGTGCAAGACCTCGGACAGCCTTCCCTGAACAATGTCTTGCTCGGAAAAGACCACAGCCTCTGCGCGGAGCAAGCACTCAGCCCGCTCCGTGCTGTGCATGTTCGTCCACTCAGCCTTCTTCCGGAAAAGCTGCTGCAAGCCACACGGGGCCGGCAAAAGTGCCTGAGTGGGCTGTGTGCCTCTGGCGGCAGGCTGCTGGTCCCCTTTGGAAACATCTTGGTCCATAGGCTGAACTGTGGATTTCTCAGCTGAACTTCGGATTTCATTCACAGGTCGACGGCCATCTGCTGGTCCCTGCCGACAGCACCGGAACTTCCGAAGCTTTCTCGTCAGAGCATCCGCAGCCTGCGCCCATGTTTCCTCGGCTCGCGAAACTCCAGGCGACTGCAACACTCTCAGCACATCGGGGAGCACCTGCTGCAAGCGCGCAGGAAGGACGCCAGTTCCGAGCCTGTCCAGAAACTTGCTCAGCAGCCGAAGCTCGGCCTCATTCGGAGAATAGTCTTCGGGACCATAGGCTAGCCAACCAGCCACATGGGCGGCATGCTGCTGCGCAGCAGCTGTGTCAAAGCTGCGCAGGGCTTTGAAATATTTCCGCACCACATGCTTCCGCTGCCTCTTTGAGTGGAACCTGGCAGCATGGCGGCGCAGCCGTTCTGTCATGACACCAAGCACGACAAAAACTGGAAGTACTGTTTGTGCTGAGGACGTGCTGCTTTCAAGCCTTTGGTTCACGCAGTAAAGATGCTTTACACCTAGCGGATATTGAAGGCTCTTCGACACCCCTGAGCTGTGCCCTCTGGGCCTTCATGGAAAGTCATGCCCTTCAGGCTGCATGCAAAGCCACAACACTCCACAGAACCAGGGAGGACTGTCTAATTACAAACCCAAACCACCCACCCTACATCACCCAGGCAGGATGACATCAATATTCTGGGGGGCTTAGGATCGTTTAGGCATACCCGTGCCATCCGCATGACGAGAATAACCCAAACCTAGGGCCAGCACCATGCCCACATCGCGGGCCCAGGCAACTTTGGCCATGCCTGCTGGGAGGCCCAAAAGCAACTCTTAACGGTTTAGGGTTTTGGGTTTAGGGTTTCGCACAGAGCTCAGTCAAGCCCAGAGACCCGAAAGCGCTTTAAAAAAGGGGTATACCTTAAATCTTATTAGAGTGCCTATGAAAAATTTACGGTAGGTTCCTTAATTCACGGTTTTGGAGTCTCTGGGAGGTTTTGCGGGGAATGGTCGGGTGCTGTAGGACTTTCCTGAGAGGAAGGTTGCGCTCAACCATGAGCATGCTAAAAGGGCTGAGAAAAAAATGAAACCTCAACCGTGAAAACCCCTAAACCCCATAAACCCCAAGATTAGGTTCCTAAATATGCTCTAGAACCCAATAACCGGAAAAAAACAGTGGGATCTCGACCCTAAACAAGCTACTACGGACTCAAAGCTCTGAAACTCTGCAATGTCAACGCAAAGCCCTCTGCCTCGTCGCCCGGGAGCTCCCTCTGCCCAGAACAAGTAAACCCTGAACACCCCAAACACCCCATCCCTGGAAAACCCTGCATCCTGAACGCTGAAACTTGAAACCGTACACCCTCACACTTATATGCAAGAAAAGCAGAAAGACTTGAAGCCCCAAACACCCCCAAACCAAAAAAAAACGTCAAAAACCTCATGCCCTTAAGAACCCTTTTATGAACCCAGACTCTGCCGATCACCCCTAAGACCCCTAAACCCTTCACCCTAAGTAAGCCCTACAGGCCCTACACTAAACCCAGAATCCTAAGTAAGCCCTACACAACCCAAAACCGTAAACCCTGAACCCNNACCCTAAACCCTACACCCCAAGCCCACCCCAAACCCTTGCAGCCAGGTGAGCCATGGATGGCCTGGGTATGCGGAGCTGAACTTCACACACTCCTCCTCCTCGCGACAGATGGCGAGGGTGTAGGGTTTAGGATTAATTCTTTTGCTGTCGCCTAGCTGGGACGATTAGGCTCGAGGGTTTGTGTGACTTTCGATGGGTTCACAAGGCCCTTGTTTTGCGCGACGGTGTTGGCAAGGTGCGCAAGCTCGGGCCCTGCTACTAGCCTGCTACAAGAAGGGGTTCTTGAGTGCAGGGTTCCGGTATTGCCAACATGAAATCTGTGCTTCAAAAGGAAACTTGATTTGGAACAGCCCGCGCACATAATTTCGACAAAGCCATTCGACAAAACCATTACACAGTGCTTTGGGAACACAGTCGCCTTCGAAGAAACCGTTTTCGAGCTCTTTTTGAAGTCCTAAAAACTTATAGAAATGGTGGAGGGGGGGATCCCTATACGACCCCGAAGGGGTCGAATCTCAAGAAGTCCGGGTGCCCGGCTTGGGGAAAGCACGGTCGGGGGCAGTCGTGCATGCCGGCGTTATGGAAGTAGGCCTCGCGCAGAAAGGTTTAGGGTTTAGGGCTTAAGGTTATGGAAAACAACGAAACAGAAACTAATTGGAGCGACAAAGAGCTGCAACAGAACGTACTTGATAAGTAAGGTGGAAACAAGCAGAGTAATGACAAGAACAGCAGCAGATGACCCTCCGACTTGTCGCCAAGGACCTGGAAGCCCCAACACTAAACCCAACTTGGAGGATCATGGGACTTAGTAAGTAAGGTTATAAGTACCCTAGTTGGGGTTATAAATTATAGTTCCCTTATGTAGAAGCCTAGCTACTAAGTCCCATGATCCTCCAAGAAGCCAAGAGGAGG